ATATAACTGGTTAAACCAAAAGAAGGAACCACAATGGAGACTATAGGTAGAGGACGAATCTCCTGGTTGAGGTTCCCGGGCCAGCCTTGACGCGTTCCCTCGCGGTGGGGAGCCCAAGGTTGGTTTGGCCTGTTTTGAGGATTTAAACGAAGAGACCGTAGGATTTCAGGCAACTTGACCTGTGCAAGAAGTAATGTTCTACCTAAGAAGGGGTTTTGACAGTACCGATCATTCGGGCCTTCTCTGCGAATCCTCGGATTTTGGGGCTGCTTGAGTGGGGCGCCTGTTGTCTAGGGCTGCTGCCTTCACCTGCAGCGCCTCTGAGTTGAGTATTAGTTGATCGGCTTACGTTCATTCCTTGTGCATGTGGCCCTGTTAGATTGTAGTGGTGATGCCGCACTGTCCTGCTCAACCTCTGAAACAGGTTGAGCTTAAACAGGTTCGGGCTTCAAGGTTCTGATCCTCGACGCGTAATGCCTCAGGCCCTTCAGTGGAGGTATGAGACTCGAGGCAGTAGACGATTCTCAACAAGTGCACAGAAGAGCCCTTTAAGACCTTGCAGTTTCCAACAACAGCAAAGGCTTAACTGACCTGGTTCAAACTGTCAGTCAGGACGTCTTCTTTAGGACAACTGCTCCATGGAGTCCCCGCAGCCTTGGCCGAATACCGAAGCTTAATTACTTAATTGCTACCGGTCTGATCAAAGTTCTGTCTCAAAACGGCGGTGTAGGGCTGTGGGTATTGCTGCCTCGCTGTTCCAGATTTCTGTCTGCGTCTAGTGATCACAAAAATGGCGATGTCGCTATTCGTCTAGAGTCTAGAGCTGATGCTTTCTGCTGTGTAGACATGGTGTCCCGGGTCCTGGACTAAGTCCTTCACGGCCTCGACGACGTGGACAAATAGCAGACCGCAGGCGGACCCATAGCTTTCTGAAGCAGCATGGGGGAGGGTCTGAAAATAAGACAAGACATGGCGAGACAGTACAAGACAGGTCAAGAATTTCCCAAGAGGTCCGGGTTGAGATAACGAGCGTCAAAATTCCGAGTGACCCTGAAATGCTCGGCAAACCGGGAGCACGGCATGCAAACCTTGCTTCGCAGTTGGTTACAGCAGCAATCCGTCAATCGCCGAGCATGATGGTTAGCATCGAGCTCTAAGCTGCGATTATGCCAACGGCCGTCCTATTGGCACAGCATCATGAACACAAGGACCCCAGGCAGAGCAATCACAAAGGATTTTGGGATACACATATTAACATGGGGACCTTCATGATTATTTTGGAGTACATTAGTTTTATGTTTTATTCACCCATTCAATCCCGTGGGGGACAAAGAATCAGCAAGAAATTGTCTATGTACTTCTGAACACAACGAAAACACAACTACAATACCTCCACACATTACAGCCCACATCTTCTGTCCCAAACCAGCCTAAGCCCCACGATGTATACTGTATTATATGCTCACACAGTGTTGTTACCCCCCAAAACCGTGTTCAATCTCGTCAAGGCTCCAAGTCCCAAGCAAAAGGTCCTTCTGGCCGAATGGTTCGATATGAACCGGCTCTTAGACTTGTTCGGCACTCCCCCATTGCGCCGGAGCCCCGGAGAATTTTGTAGTGCGGATGTGTACACGTGTTTGTAGGGTTTTGGGTAGAGTTTGACCCGTGGGTTTAGGATTGAGTTTGTTTATCTCCGGGATTGCGTGTTGTAGGTCTTTGTAGCTTGGATATTGGGCTTTCGGTCTTGAGGGTGCTCGGAGAAGGGGATGCAGCACCGAGGAGCCATGAATCGATGAATCGCACAGCAAGCTTTGCAACCGGCGTTCGGGGTAGTTTTAAGGGCGGGTGGTTCAAAGGGACTAGGGCACCCTATAGGAAACCTTAGGAGTTACTAGAGAGACTGAGGGATCACTAGGTCACATGTCCCCATTCGTAATCGCCAAGTCTCCAACCCAATCAAACCAAAAACTGGCAGGGAAGTACAGCTTTGGTCGACAGCCCGGTACCCTCATAAGAAACACAAACCTTCTCAGTTCGGACGAGCTCCCTGTGGTGAGGAAAAGTCACAAACCTTTCACTCTGAAACACCAGTGTCCCTGATTCTCTGAAAGTCTGAAACCCAAGCACTGCAGCAGAGCCTCATGAGACCCTTATGAAGCCTTTACCGCATTGCTCTCATAAAGTCCGCCATGTTCTGAAATTCCGCTACACCCCACCTAAACTCCGAGACTCAAAACACCGAATATCGGTGCCCCTAAACCCTCAACCCCTACAGCCGACAACCCAAACTCCCAGATCCACATCATGTGTGGTCAGAGTTGCTCCAGGGACGGCCTACGACTGCGCTCCGAAGCGTTACCGGGCGTTTGGGTGCTCAGATGCCCTCGGAGCTCTCGGTGTTTTATGCGGTTCCTTTTAGGGTCCTTCTTTTCAGTGCTATAAAAGGCATCTACTGTGTAATTAGCATTTCAGGGCTGGGAGTTTGCGATGGATTGGTTTTATATGGGGTTTAGGAGTCCATTAGGGCTACGAGGTTTAGGGTTTGGAACTTACTTCGGGTCATAGCGCTACTGTTTAGGGTCATGGGGCTTGGGAATCTAGAGTGATAGTGTGTAGGGTTTTGGATATGGGTTCTTGGTTTCCCGGGTTTGGTGATTCAGGTGCTATGACATAGAGCCTAGCTTCTGAGTGCGAGTGCCGTCGACCGGCGAGTGCTGAGCTGCCCTTGTTTCTAATACTGGTTCTTGGGCCCTTGCGTTAAGCATGTTGTTGTTGCAACAGTTATTTTCGGCCAGCATTGCATTGCCTAAGACCCTACTTCAGACTGGTGTAAAATCTGTATTTGGCAAGGATACTTCAGCGACCCATAACCTTGGCCAGCGATTTAGTACCTGCGGAACTGGCACCAAAGCCCGAAGTTTCATTGAGAGCTTGACACCGAGAGGGATACAGAAAGGCCGCACTGTGTAGAGGCTGGCAAAGGAGAACCCTGTCTGTTGAAGCTAGCAAACCTTTGCATGTCTTTTGTGTAGAGGAGTCTCGTGACAAGAGCTCCTTGTGCATGAGCCATAGCTTCGCGTCAGAAGTGCGAGGATCGTTATTACGGGCTCTCGGGGTTTGGGAATCCTGTTGCGGTTTCATGGCATCGAGGGCCGATGATCGGTGAAACCCAACTGACCTTAAGAACGGGGTAAGGTTTCCAAAAACTTGCGGGGTCTTGTTCGAAGGTTTCCTATAGCTGAAGGGTCCCCATTAGGGGTCCCGTCCTCTTGGAAACTCCCAGCTACAGCTGCGAGCTCAGCTTCGCGGTCGCCTCTGTAAACCCTTGCCCTGGAGCTACTTGAGTTCGCAGCTCAACCCCAAGTGTTTCGCGCAGGTTCAGGAAACACTTGCTGAGGCAATTCCTCTGCGCCATGAACCGCGCAACCCTCGCGGAGGCTAAGAGGCAGGAGAACGGCAGTTCTTGCAACGTGGTCTGTCATCGGATAAGAACTCGGACAGAAGGTGTGAGGGAAGACGATGCTACGACTGACGGAACACAGACCACGTTGCTGAGACTGCTGTGCTTTCGAAGTGTCACGTTTCCGTTGCATCTGCATCTCGTCGTAGATCCTCTCCTGACACCCACACCCTCAAGCGGACTCGCCAAACCTCACCAGCCCTTATCACCAAGTATATCCCCGAAGACCACACAAGCATCCACTTCACACACAAACATGGCAAAGGGTCCTTGTGCATGTGCTGTTTCAGATCCATGCGAAACTTCTACCCAAAATGCAGTAAGTAAGCCGTACATCATATCTGGCCAGTTTCTAAACGTATAGTTTCAGGAATAGTGCACAGACGTTGTCTCGGTACACCGACGAATTCCATGCTGCAAAACATCGTAGATTCGAGTATGTACAGGCCGAGAAGCTTGGGGCTAAGTCCCATGTGGGTGCAATATTAAGGGGCCCTAGTGCTTCGAATGGGACTCAGGTAAATTGGTTCCACAGGGACCACATAATATTTTTCCGAATGTTTCAGACTGCGATAGTACACTGTCAGACGTCAGATCCGGGGCAGGAGAGGGATTTTTTGTGCAAGGGGCAGTTGTGAGACAACTGAGCAACACGGAAACCCTTCCCTACTCGGCCAAAACGAATCCCTGCACCCCAAATCTGCAAAGGCGGAAAGGCCTGGCAAGCAAAAAAGCCTGAATCTCTAAACACTTCCCGTCAGCATGCGCCTCCCTGTTTATTAAGATTGGTCACGGGCTTCGGTTGGACGCACAAGTTTCCCAGCTTGAACATACTCACGTTCTGAGGTTTAGGGCTTCGGGTCTCGGGTGTTTCAATCGTTGGGGCTTTGGGGCTCAGGGATCTTCCCGTTCAAGCAGCTGTCGACATGCCACGGAAGGAACAATGACTGTGTGCGCGGAAACTGGCAGACAGCGTTCGCCCGAGCTGAGGGTTGTTGAGCTTGCTTCCCAGTCATGGTATCCGAATTTAATCCCAATACTCTATATCCCAATCCGTAAACCGCTTCTTGTTGTGCTTTGCTCAGTCCTTTCGGGTTTCACTTCATCCTACCCACAGACACTTGACTCGCCTGGACTTGTTTCAGTTGTGAGTGCCGAAAGCTTGTCAACCTGAAGCCTAAGTCTTCAACATGTCCAGCAAATTTGGGGTTTTGGCTAGGGGTTGCTGAGAGATTTATTTTGCTACAGCCTTAGGCTTTACAGTCCCAGGCGTCAGCTGCCTTTGTCAGGGGAATTTGGGAGAAGCGGTGGGTCTTTCGAGGTTTAGGGTTTGGGTGTTTACAGTTCGAGAAGGGCCTGGAGTCTAGTTTAAAGGCTCGGAATTCAAATTCTGGATCCGATCACTTGGTCCACACATGTGCGAACATCACGATCAAACGCTTTTTGGTGAGGGAGGGTTTTGCTAATCAAAGGTCCCAGAAAGGACCCTTAGGCCGCCCTCCCAATTCCAAAGCACGTCTCTTCCTCATCAGGTTGCCACGACCCTCAAACTCCAAGGCACTCTGCCCGAATTGAAGCTTCAAGCCGAACCCCAAAACCGGGCGACATGAGGTAATGATGCAATACCCCGAGATCGGGCTTTGGCGTGACCTCCGTGAGAAGATAAAGCGGGGTCCTCGAAATGCTTAGAACATCAAGCGCCCTAGAACGCACGATGGGGTGGGAACTGTTGATTTTCCCAGTCGTAAAATACTGCTGAGTGCCCCTAACTTGCTAGCGCGCGGTTGTGTGCTTTTACATGTTGGGTTGTAGTGCTGCTATGGTTTAAGATTCTAAACCCTAAACCCCTAAACCCCTAAACCCTAAACCCTAAAGTGCTTTAGGTTTCTTTTGGATCGGGCTGCAGGACTCAGAGCTTAGGAGTTGCGCGTGCGTGCTGGCCTCTAGCGGCCCGAGCGCTTGAGAGTTGAAGCTCTGAAGTGCTCCAAGCTTAGGGTTTTGGGGCCCATTCTACTATAACAATAGCAAAAATAATATAAAATATTATTATTATTATTATTAGTATTAGTATTATTATTATTAGTTATTATTATTACTATTGTTATAGTATAATGATATAATAAGGAACCCCCAACATAATATAGGTAATTTTTACTGCTGCTTGTGGGGTTCGGGGATGCGACACGGCATAGAGGTGCCAGTGCTTATGGCCTAGGGAGCCGGATGTTTTTTTAGTGCAGGGAAACCAAGGTTGGTTGAAAGCAGGAGGGTATTGCGCCCTTGTAGTCCGCATATGCTTATACGTACTACAATACATCCCAAACCACTATAAGTATTGAGGCTCATGCATGTTTAAGGTCTTTTTTGTAGATGTTTGAATGCCATATTTGCTGAGGGGAGGTTAAGGGTTTGGGGCCTAATCGTTAGAGCCCAAACCCCGCCACAACGCCGAACCTTGATCCCTAAAATGGTCTTTAGGTTTGTCGTGCCCCATAGCCGCATGCACCCTACACCCCTCGAATCGACAGCGCTACCCCTTCTCCCAAAGCCCCAAGAAGACCATAGAGGAATTGCCGCATATCCATGGAGTTAGCAGCGTTTGTCTTGGGAATTCGTGGACATGGCGGTGTTGGTTGCAGTCGCCGTCGGTTTTTTGCGGTAGCCGCAGCTAGGGCAAGTTATGAGGGCATTGACGACCTTTTGTCAGTGCAATACAAAACCTATGGGAGAAGCACTACCCGCACCAAGAGAAGTCACAGTAGTATCAGTTGTTTGCAGTTTCAACGCTACCGACATCAGCCTTAAACACCCTTTTTGTCCGGGTGTTCCGAGGCTCCGCGTGTGGACGCCCGAAGCCAATGAGCCCGGCACGAAAACGCGGCGAGGTTTCCAGCTGCTTTGGGTGTCAGCAGGGTTTGAGGCCACGGGCCTTTTGGCTTAAGGCTTAAGGGTGGGGGGTGGGGCCGGGTGGCGGATGGGCAACATGTTTCCGGAATTGCTTGAAATCGCTTGCCAGCAAACGACACGGCTCAGGGCCCTAAACCTAGCTGCACATACTACGAAAAGCTCGGGCCAACGGGGAATCACATCCGGGTCTATTGGGAAACTATCTCGCTTCGAGGGAAGCGGGCGGCCGCCCGGTAGTCAAATATCTTGCTGTCTGGAAGCCCAGAAGCCCGGATGCCCTGAGCAACCTACGAGAGTCGAGAGGTGCCTAAGGCCTAAGAGCTAGAGGCGTGAACATCCTTGCTCCTAAGGAACTCTTGATTTAGTGACATGGCGAGGGCTAAGGCTAAGTCTCTTCGGTCAGATTCTCGCATGAGACCCGCAGAAATGTGGGAGGCAGCATGTGGGACGACGAGGTCCCGGATGGTCTCTTCAGGGAGGTTTTGCTTCTGCCTTGAGTTCGGACTAGCATGAAGGTGTGGGTTCCGGGCATTGTTTCATTGCTTCCTGGGTGGAAAATCGCTGTGTGCTGGGCACTCTCTGCACATCTCACACCGTCGGGAAAGGCCGCATCTGTTCCTTTCGGCAACTTTCGCCAATACTTACCGGCATATCCCTTTTTGCACTGCGGTTGATATCCCCTAGCCTGCGTTCACCGATATGTCAACATTCCGAGCAGGCACCCGACCTCGGAAAACTTCCGGGAGATGGCCAAATTTTGGATGACAGCACCCCGCAGCTACAACGTCGAAGTTTGGATGTATGAGTTTTGGCCTCCAGATTTGCTTGTACTGGGTGGACATAGAAACATGCGTCTTGAACTGTTCTGGAGAACCGAACGTTCCTACCGAAAAAGAGTACAAAGTGATGCCGTCGACTTTTCATTAACCTTCTGAACCTCCAGGAGGGTAAGCGCACATCCACTTGGGCCACCTTGTGGCGAGATAGGACCTTCCTCTGAGGGGGTGTTCGGGTATCTTCAATCTTGTAGGCTTGTGGTGTGGACCTTGAGGGCTGTACGTTTTCGGGCCTCGGGCTTCACACCGGCCAACTACCCCATTCATGGTATCTTGACTTCCCCACAGAAAAAGCTCGTAAGTGTTCTCTTGAAGCCTAATTACTTGAGAAGCCCTGAAACCCTTCATTGTATCTTGACTTCCCACAGAAATAGGCCCGTAAGTGTTCTCTTGAAGCCTAATTACTTAACCCTGAAAAGAGGCTTAGGGCGCCGAGGCCCAATACAAAACCCCCCAAGTCAGTAAGCTTCGCTGGGATCTTGGCACTAGTACAGCGACTTCGAGGCCCATGCACCTAGGTCTTTCGACTAGTGTGGAGGGGGGCACAGAGACTGGGAAGGGTAGCAACGATGATAGGGAAGCTAGTAGTAACAGTTGTAACCGTGTCAATATTTTTAGGAACCTCTTTCATGAACTCCAAAGCCTAAAGCATGAATCCTAAGCCCGAAGCCTCTAACGAAGCTTCTAAGCCAAGCAGAACCTCGTAGAGGGAGTCCAAAACAGGTTCGGCGCATGGGGAAGAGTCAGATTCGAAAATTCCAACCCCAACCATCTCGCAAGATTCCTTCGGCTTCCAACAAACACTACGTGGTATTCGACAAGAACCTTTAAGCTTTCTGGGGGTCGTACCTCACGAGAAGTTCATGACAATCAACATATAGTTCCCTCAGCAATTTTGGGCGAGCTGTAAACCCCAAGCACGAGAATCCTCGAGCTCGAACCGTTTGCTTGTCCCGAAGGATCCCGAAGCCATAAAAGCCCTACAGTAAAGATCGAAACCGAAGGATCCGAAACGTGCTCCCACGCGGTATCGATAGTTTCGTCGGAGCCGGTGACAAGGAGGCCCAGTGGGAGGGGGCTTCCTTCCTGGATGTTTGCATAAAATTTTGTATTCTGAGATCGGTTCCATATATGGATCGCCAAAACGAATGCATCACTCTCTCGGCCTATGAATAACCTCACCATCCTAAGTCTAGCCTTTAGAGAAGCACCCAGTTAAGGTCATGGTCTGTAGCGCGCTTGCGATTACACATTCCGCATGTTGCCGATGGGTGTGATCCACAAAAAGCGCTGTCTGCCCTCATCGGGTGCGGGGGTGCGTGGAAAAGAAGTTCATGTCTATCCATTCCTATTAAAGGAGGTGTCGTGAGTGGAACCTTCGTTGTTCGAAACAGCGCTTCCTTGGGCCTGCGGACTCTTCTTGTTTGATTCTGAAAAACTGGAATTCACCTCGGAACCAAGTCAGGTCTTGACCAGTTCACGCAGAACAGACACTCGAACTAGACCAGGGTGTCGCAGATTTTCAGCTATGTGCACGAAACGTAGGATTTGTCATAGGTGATAGAGACATGTGAATGTGTTCAGGAAGCCCTGCATATCGCGCTTAGAACATTAGGTGTATGATGCGGCATCAACTTGAGGCTATTGGTGTCTGTGCTGACATGCTTTGCCCTATGCGCAGCTTCCTCAGAGCCGCAAACCTCCCAAAAACGTTTCCAAACACTGCAGGTGCGGATGATGGCTGCGGCTCTTTGGAAGGACATCACGGAATGGGCGTGCGCCTCATGTGACCCCAGCATGCCACACAGTTCGGGACTACCTTGCAAAGCTTCCCTTAGAGCAGCTAAGCCAGGGCTTGCAATCTGTTCCAAATCTGGTATCCTTCCTTTAGGCCTGGAGATACTATCATTGAAGCTATCACTATACGAATAGTAGCATACTATAATCAGATCCTGCATCTGAACGTACAGATCTTGCTTCTTAACCCTTCAAACCGTTGCGCTTCGCGTTTCGTGGGGTTCGGCAACCAGGAGCAGAAGCGACATCGCGAGGCTTTAGGCTTTTGGGCGCCCCATCTTAGCCAACAAAAGCCTCAAGCCCCCAAGTCTTGAAAGCCCAAAGCCCTACAGAGCGCAAACGAACCCCAAGAGCCACCTTTCGAAGCAGCTTTTGTGGAACTCTAAATGGGCCCTGGGTATGTAGTTCTCTAAAGTAGGGTCCCTTTTTAGGTCCCCAACATTGTTCGGCACCCTTTTGAAACGGACTCTAAAAGGGACCCTAATTTAGAGAACTACCCTTCTGGTACCCTTGAAGAAACCCTATAGAACCTTATAGATCCCCTTTGAGGAACCCTAAAGGGGGACCCTAATAATTAGAGAACTCCCCCAAACTTTCCGGAGCAAAGGCCAAAGGCGAAGGAGATTGCGCTCGCCACCTGAATCTCTTCACGGCGGATCCTCGGCTCTGGGCAGTGCGGGTTTAGCGTTTTTTTGGTGTGTTGTTTTTTGGGTTTAGGGTTTAGTTTTTAGGGTTTAGGGTTTCAGGCAATTGTAGGTATTACACAGGGCTTTGAGGTCAAGAGGAGGTCCTGTCACCCAGCTTGATGAGATTATCGCACGGGCTTCCCGGAAATGGACGTGCCACGTTTGCATGCTTCGGGACCGGGCTAGAATCCTAACACCCTGAAGCCTGGAACTCCCTACTCCCCGGGACTCCGAACCCCAAACCCCAGCTCAGCTCAAGCCTGAAGCACTAGGATCCTGCAACAGCGGGGTCCCTTTAAGAAAAGGCTTCATCTTAAGACATGCTAGCATACCTTCACGGTGGTGTGTGTTTGTTTTCAATACGGTCTGAGAATCATGGTGTTCTGGACTGCACCAGCCGCCCCGCCAAACGAGGAGCCCCCTGCGAACCCGGACGAGACGGCTGAGGCCCGAACTTATAGGGATCCCTATGATGTTTAGGGTTGTCTTGTTCGGGCGAAAGGTCTGTTGCGTTTTGCGAGTGTTGCTCGTGTGTTCTTTGTCTGCACGTCTGGAATTGAGGATCTGGTAGGTAGTACCATAGTCGGCGCGTACATACACACACACACACATACATGTGTATATATATATATATATATATATATGTGTGTGTGTGTGTAGTGCCTCCACTTTTCAGACCTTGACCTGAAGCGCGTGTGTCGTCGCACCATAAGCCCGTTTGTGTCTTGGGCTGCCGCTCCAGACACGGAATCTGTGATATGCAAGTCTGAAAGCTAGCAACTCAATAGTATCCCTTTTTATATCCCCAAAAGTTTACCCCAACCAACTGTTAGTTAATTTCCTGAGCATGAAGGTCCCGGCGGATCTATGGCCCTCTAAGCAACTGAACAGCAGTACCAGGACCCTCCGCACAAAACCCCAAATCCTCAAGCCCAAAAATATCTAATCCCTGGACCCGCAGCGAGCCCGATACCCTTTCATTAAGGAGTCTACCTTAAACGAAACAGGCCTCATAACATCGTTTAGGAGTATGGAAGGTTCGTTGCAGGATTCTACTCATTTCTCCAAGTTGCAGCCTTTCAATTCTCGGGGTTCTGACTTGTGACTAGCATTGAACGTCCAACGTTTGACATACACCTACCACATCATTCAACACATTGCGTTTGTGAGGACTCCTATCCATAACGTGCGGCTTCGAATTTACAAAAGCCTTCACTTCCGATTTTTTCATGCGCACTGCCCAAATAGATACCCACGATCTTGTGTATTCCGGAAAATGGTGGAACGAATACAGACCGGTAAGTGGTAGGACTCGTGGTATTTGCACGCTGTATAAACGAGGCCGGGAAGGTCAGAAGCCCCCCACATGGTTCTTCCCCATTACTCCCCGCGAGCCGTGTGCGGGTCAGGATTCTCATTGTAGCCGGTGGGCTTCTAAGAGAAGTTGTCAGCGAGATCGAGATCAATCGGTTTTTCCAGGCGGCTTTTGATTCGGGTTTGCCTGGGGCACTTGTCTGCCATGGCTGTTGTTCGGGCCGACTGACGCCCAAATGCCACGGGTTCGCCGAGCCTCGGGCCAGGAGATAACTATTCCTGCGGACGAGGTCGATGATGTGCGGACCCTGAAGCGACGCATTCAATCCTGGTGTGGGCTGCCGCGATTCCGACAAAGGCTCCTTCATCAAGGTTGCATTTTCGAGGATGATGCTGCTGTCACGGATGTGGAACTGCAGCTCGTGTTGATACCCTTTACGCATGCTTCCGCAGAGCAGGAGGTTGAGCTCGTCGACGCTGCTGACCTTGGCGTTGTGGCATCAGTTGAGGCGATTCTTCAACGACCACAAAACCCAGACATGTTAAATGAGCGCGAACACCTGTTAAATACAGCTCTCGGGACGGCATCCGACAGGGGCCATGCAGAAATTGTTGCTTTGCTGCTGGAGGCATGTGCGGATGTAGATCTCTATACTCTCGGCGTGGGCCCGGGGTATGAAGGCACCTCACTCACCATCGCTGCCAGCAGAGGGCATGTTGAAGTTGTACGCCTTTTACTGGAGGCCGGAGCAAGTCAGGAGACGAGCGGAACCTTTTATGGAGACGAGGTAACACCTCTTCTTGCAGCGATCAAAGCACACTCCGCGTGGAGCCATGAGAAAGGTCCCACAGATCGCCACATGGAAACTGCACAGCTCTTGCTGCAAGCTCATGCTGATCTTGACTTTCAGGGACAAACGTCGTCCTACTGGGACTTGGAATATGATGCGAGGCCTTTGGTTGCGGCATGTCAAGGTGGACATGTGAAGGCGGCACGTTTGTTGCTCGGGCACGGCTTTGTCGACAGGGCTGCAACTCCAAGACCTGCTGCGTCAGCGATCCCGCACTTTGCTCCAGCGCTTGTCGCGGCATCTTCGAGTGGTCATGTAGAAATTATAAGCTTGATGTTGGAGGCTGCCGGGCTTGGTAGCAGTGAGGCCATGCCGACAAGAAATCGAAAGCGTGGCCTTGACACGCCACTTTCGGCCGCATCGTTACTGGGTCATGTGGGAATGGTGCGCATGCTGTTGGAGGCACGTGCTAAAGACGAAAGCGCGGAACCCTCTGGCGCAACAGCTCTTTGCCTGGCTGCCGGCGAAGGGCATGTGGAAATCGTCCGTTTGCTCCTAGAAGCTGAACAGGTCCATTCTGGTTAGTCCAGGTGGTCAAAGTGCCACTGCCGCAGAGCTCAATCCATGACTGGAAAATAGGCGTGCATTTTGCGTTCATGCCAAGACGAAGACCTCCTATCGCCCCTGTATCTAAGACAGATCCCTAAGAAACCATAGAAGTAAGCTTCGGTCTTGTTGGATGTAAGTACTTGCAGCTTCTTTGCAGGTGTCGCCAAACGATTCAGGCGCGAGTTTTATCTCCATAACAAATGGTAATACGTACTTGTAGTAGTAATCGTCATCGTGATAGTAAGCCTAGTAAGCGTCATAGTACAGCGTATGCAACAGGATGTCGCGGGGCCTTGGATGAAGGCTCCAGTTCGCATCCAAGCTTTGTGGGTCAGGGTCTTCTTCTGTCTTCTAGGACAATCAGATGTAGAGAGGGAACAAGAACTGATATGCTATTCGAGAAGAAACCAACTAAACTTTCCGACAACTCTCCTCAGCGATTTTCCTCCTTTTAACCCCAAACTCAAGCTCTCAGCCACAAGACTTGCGATGCCAACGGTGACGACAAGTGTAGCAGATGACAAGCAGGCACCGGAGGAGTGGGCTTTCGTGCCGGCCGCCGACATCTTCCTCGTTGTTGGCGAGGTCAGTCGGCCTGGTTCTTGCTACAAGGGGTGAAAATAAGGGTGCCCATGATCATATTGAGGAGATTTACCATCAAGATCGAGGTTCTTGAGCTGTCGGGCTTAAGATTCAGGCTTTGTAGGGTATGTGAACAGTTTCTGAGCTGAGTTTAAGAGAGGGTTAGTGGAGGTGTTTTTGCTCGAAGCGTTTACTCTTCCACAGGTGTATGAAATTTCTTTGCCTTACAATTCCAAGACCTCCTTGGGCCTTTCAGGGGGGATTCGATTCTGAAAGGTTCAGGGCTCGGATTTGTGGCGGCTGAGCTCAGACTGCCTTAGGATGGTTTGGGGCTAGTGGTTTAGAGTTGGGCTGTCTCCGGTTCATGACTTGTTGTGCTTTGAGCCTTAATGCTTCTCAGCTTCTTGGGATTCAGGTCTTTGTAGCTTGGGGCCTCAGGGGTGCATGGTGAGGATTTACGGTCTGCTGTAGTGACCGGGACGGGTCTTCAGTTGATGTACCTTTAAGAGCCGGTACCAGGAACGGTTCAGGGTTTGGGGTTTGGGAGAAGGGGAGATCGTGGACGGAAGTGGTTGCGGCCACAGGGCGTCGGGGTGTAAGCATTCTCCCACAGACTCCATTACGCCGGGATCTTCCATCCAGCCATGATCGCATAGCTTTGGAGTGGTTTCAGATGCAAGGAACCGCGATCGTGGGAATTTGGCGCAAGATTTAACATTGATACGGTACATCGCGGTCTTGGGGTCCGGGATTCGGCGAATTTGCCTGAAGGAGTTATACGGGTTTTGGGGCTGCTTTGGGGTTCGGGAGAAGGGCTTCTGGCTGCATGCTGACACGAGGTACAATGAGACGTTCCTGAGGTTACAGCCTTAGGGATGAGTGAAGGGTCGACCCAATGCCTTCGCGAACCCTACCTCGCCTGACGTATTAAGCTCCGTCCTACGCTGTTTTAAACGATGCTCAGAAAGATGCCTCTTGCCCACGGACAAACTTCGACATCCCGAGTATTCTCAGAAACTCCAGAAACCCCATGTTTGGACTGCTGGAATACAGACACCCAGGATGTGTGTGTGGATGTGCTGAATTGGGGAGGGTCGAGGCGGTGTCGTTGAAGATTCAGGAACTCAGGCCAAAGTTTTGAAAGCTACACCCAACACCACACCATGCTGGCTTATATTCAGAACCTTCACGAAAATCCAGCGACATTCACGAAGCCTTAGAAAGCAAGCCTTGACCCTCTGAGGGCATCGTCGGTATCACTGCAGAGGGCCTTGGGGCCGCAGATGCCAAGCCCGGCCACGACAGGTGTGGGTTCCGAGCGCTGTTTTTGTTTGCTTATTTCTGCGTCGTTTGTAGAGGATGGAGGTATAAGGGTTGATAGCGTGTATACATTGATCTCGGGTTTGTGAAATGTGAAGGCTCGCACTGATGGTTCGATAGACATTGATACACAAGTTGTTCATGGCTTTGGGATCCCAGTCTTTTTGGGCTGGCGTTTTCGAGTTCGATCTGGAGTTTCTTACAAAGGCGATGCGGGGTTTTTAGGGCTCCGGGAGAGGACCACAGCAGCTTTGCATGGGCATGCTCCTAGTTTCGTGAGGGTTCACATGGTTGCTGCAGCCCAACATCCTCCTCTCGAAATTCTTTCACTATGACATTGTGACAAGACCTTGTGGATGTTCTTCTTGCGTTCGGAAAAGAAGGCTTATCGATTCGGCTATCAGGATTTATGGTTTGAGGCGCTGAGAGTGTGTGGAGACTTTGCAGACGTAGAAGCAAGGAAGGAATTGCAAGTTCACTGCTTCGGTGAGTCCTGTCAGCTTTGTGCTGAAATCGGGCCCAATCGATAGATGTCGTCCCTCATTGATACTACGTGTCAGTTACAGTATAAGAGGAAAGATGCTGCCTCAGCCTCATGTCCTTGAAGCTTGATTGTGGATCTGAAAGAAATCAGAAGCCCTGAAGCCAAACAAGCCTAAACCCTAAAGTAAGAGGGCAGGGGGGTGTGAGAAGTGTAGAGGTCGGAATAAGTACAAACAGTACTGCTAGGGTTTCGCCTGTTATAATTCTATTACCATATACCCCCAAATCCTGCCCTATGCTAAGCCCCTTCTATTTTTTTAGCAGACCCCTTGAAAGACACCCATACCGGAGCCGAAGAGCCCCGCGTAGTAGAGTCAGTAGAGTGTTGAAGCGCGAGCCTCCAGGCCAGGGGTTTGTCTCCAGCCTGCGGCTGCCGCCGCCAACTAATATACGAGTTACAAGAAGAAGAATAGTAATAGCACTAGACTATCAGCCATTAAGATTGTGTGATACTGAGACTATCAGGAGGTAGTACTAACCAATGATAAGACTAGTGGTTGGGCTTAGGCTTAGGGGTAACTGTTTGTAGTGCAGAAGCACCTCTTCGCAAGAGCATCAACATTGAGGCGAATGCAGTCCTGCTTTGCCTGAAGGAACGTGCGTGCCTGGTGTTAGAAAGCAGACTACTTAATGGGTAGTTCTCTAAATAAAGGTCCCGCTTAGGGTTCTTATTATAAGCGTGCCGTACTATGTTGGGGACCCAAAAAGGGACCCTGACTTAGAAAACTACCTCAATGCAAACCACTGGTGTGCCTGGAACTCGGGACCCGGAGGTCCCCGGACCCTACGACCCTGAAAAACGTCCGACAAGTGTAAAGGTTGTAGAGCTCCTAAGGTCAAAGCCGATGCTCGGCTTGCACCCCCTAGAGCTGCCGCCTAGACCTGCCACCCCCGAGATGCTAGGACAAAAGTTCTTAACTTTCTTTAAGCCACTCTTTGCGTGCAGGATGACTTTCTCGGAGGCCATGCAAGACAAGAAGCAAAAGTCCAAGGCAAAACCGATTGGAATTCAGGGTCAAACTTCAGACTGGAAACGAAGGTCGGGAATGAAGGGGAGAATTTCCTCGCATACATGTGACCTAGCGGACTTAATTGAGCACCAGTACGTACATGCCACGGTGGGATGTCCGGCGTGTTCTTCCACGATGACCTGCAACTCAACCTTGGGTGGAAAATTTATTCCACGTATTAAGAGCCCTACAGTATTGCGAATGCAGGCGTTGCGTTCCAAAGATCGATTTAAATGTTCACGGGCGTCGCAACCAAGGTCGACGTTGCGGTTCTGCTCGTCGACTTCGTCGAACACAGAACTAGTGTTTGTAGTGGTAGGAGTTAGTAGTAGTAGTCGTCGTCGTCGTCGTCGTCGTCGTAGATACTAGTACTATTATTATTACCACTACTCCTATTACGTCTATTCCTCCTACCACTACTTTTCTACTACTACTACTACTACTACTACTACTACTACTACTAATAACTACTACTACTACTACTACTACTACTACTACTACTACTAATTATCGTATAGCGGAAACATAACAGTAATGAGTCAGGCTTCTATATAAATGTAGGGTCTTAAATAACTCATACTATTTTTGGGTTCCTAGTTATCATTATGGTATAATGGGTCCCAAAATCCTGTTCTAATTTTAAGGCCCCAACATCAGGCTTTTGTGGGTTGCAGTTTTTGAGAGTGTTCCTAAACTCTAGACCCTAAAGTTCAGCGGTTGATAGTTTAGGATTTAGGGGTTTAGGGTTTAGGTTTAGGGTTTCGGTCTTGGGGTTTCGGGTCTGGGGTTTAGGGTGTGTATACAGTGTGCGCGCGGTTGGTGCGGCTTCTTAAGGCTCCGAAACCCTAAACCCTTACAGTAGCACTTATCGAGCCCTTTCAGGAACCCTTTAAAGTAGCCCCAAAACCCCATTCTAAGTAGGGTATTTTGAGGGTTCCTTGGTATGATTATAGTATAATATACCTAATATACCCCCAGACCCTAAACCCTAAACCCTAAACCCTTAACCCTTAACCCTATTCGAATTCTGAAGGCCCCTATAAAAAAAACCGTGCGAGGTCATGTCGGCGACTCCCAGCCCTATGTCGGCCAGGGCCATGTCGGCCAGGGCCTTTGAACGTTTCGGGTTTAGGGTTTTTAGGGTTTTTAGGGTTTTTAGGGCTTTAGGGCTTTTAGGGCTTTTAGAGTTTTTAGGGTTTTTAGGGTTTAGGGTTTAGGGTTTTTATGGTTTTTAGGGTTTAGGGTTTAGGGCTTAGGGCTTTTGGGGTTTAGGGTTTAGGGTTCAGGGTGATCAACAGCCGCGTCTACAATCGCTACCACCTGTTTTGTAGAATGACCCGGATATATGTGATGTCTACCCTAAACCCTCAACCTTAAGCCCTTAACCCTAGGAGCAGGGTGCCGGGGCCCGGGAGCTGTAGTGTGGGTCTTTAATCGAGGACCTGGCAGACGAATGGTACCTTTCCTTCATGGTTTGGGGTTTAATATAGAATCCTAACTAAGTGCCAATATTACTGTTAGGGTTCCTTATTATCAGTATTCTATAAAGGGGCCCAAAACCGTATTCTAAGCAGTAAGGCCCCTACATTAGGTCCGTGGTACGCAGGGCATACTGAGGGTAGCTAGGCCTGAACCTATCAATCCGAATCCGGGCCCCATTTTCCACATTGACAGGGAAGTAGGAACCCTCGAAAGAAGCCCATGGCACGCTGTGGAAGTAATTACCCTGCATCATGATAAGGATCCGTCTGTGTAATATGATGTATATTGCTCAGTCAAACCCTAAACCCTTAAACCCCTAAAACCCTAAAACCCCTAAACCCTAAACCCTTAAACCCTAAACCCTAAACCCTAAACCTGAGCCAGTGAGAAAAACTTGTCTCCACACCAGGCGGGGATCCCAAACAAGTAGGACCCGACTTAGAGGTTCATGGCTTTAGGGTTTAGGGCTTTAGGATTTTTTGGTTTAGGGTGGTAGAGTTTAGGGTTAAGGGAGCTGTAAGGAGGGTTGTAAGTAGGATAGCTACCCCGCTTTTGGCTACCCTAAACCCTAAACCCAAAACCCTAAACCCTAAACCCATGAACCTCCAAGTACAACCTGGCGCCTGAAATCCCGAGTCGCAAGCACGTCCACAGGAAACCTCGAAGCAGCTTTGACGGCTCAAAGCTTCTCAAACGTACTTCTGAACGCCTTAAACCCTCAAGCCTCAAGCCTCTAAACCCTAAACCCTAAACCCTGTTGCTATCAGAAGTGATGGATCTCCTTCTTGCCGATCCCCTGTCTGCCGGTCCCGTCTTGGCTCAGCAAACTACTTCAAGGATCAGAGGACTAAGTAAGAAGGGTTTAGGGTTTAGGGTTTAGGGTTAAGGGTAGGGTGTATATATATATATATATGTATGTATCTCTCTCTCTCTATGTATATATATATATATACATATTAGGTGTGAAAGGGCTTCGAAGGGGCTTTTCCGGGTTTCAGACGGATCTTATAAGGTCATGAACGGTTTTGGCGGGTTCTGATTCTGCAAGGAAATAGTAGCCTCAAAGATTCCGAGGTGTCTTGCTGCATTCCATGTTTTTTTCCAAATCTGTCGTCTGTTTTTGGGGCTCCTTTTAGAAGAACCCGAAGTAGCTTGCCCATTCTGCTGAATTACCATCTCGTCCCCGCATCCCAAACCTGAAATTTCAAACCCTAGACCCCGAACATGGAAACCTGAACCTAAACTTGAAACCCTCAACCCGAAACCCCAACCGCAAAACCCGAGACCCCTAGATCCTCAACCCTCAAGCCCTAAACCCTAAACCCTAAACCCTAAAACCCTAAAGCCCTAAAGCCCTAAACCCTAAACCCCCCCCGCGGGTCTTCCAGCTAAGGGCAGAAGCGCCAAAAGTCGTCGGCAGGAGTTGACCCAGCAGGTCGGGCTGGAAGGGTTTCTAGAGTAGAGGGTTTCTGGAGGGTTTCTAAAGGGTTCCTGGAGGGTTTCTAGAGGGTTTGAAGAGGGTTTCTAGAGGGTTTCTAAAGGGTTCCTGGAGGGTTTCTAGAGGGTTTGAAGAGGGTTTCTAGAGGGTTTCTAACGGTAGCCGAAGTTGCGATTTTCAGGGTTTAGGGTTTAGGGTTTAGGGTTCACGATTAATGTAGGGGTCTAGATAATTACCAATACTATGTATTTTTGGGGTTTTCTTTTTATAGCTATAGTATAATATACTTCAAAACCCCACTCTACTTGTTAAGGCCACTGTATTGTGGTTTATGGTTTGGGGTTGAGTCGTGAGTCTCTCGGGTTTCAGATTTGCGGTTTACTGGAGTACGTAGGTGTCTGTTCAGGGGCAAGTCCAGGATACTACGGCTAAGGCTCCGAACTGCTGAAGCATGTGTAGCTGGATTGCGAGGCTTTGATACATTTGTAACATTACACCCTCTACGCGGCTTTAATATGGATCTTCTTGGGCTTCAGAACGCTCTAATTGGGATTAGCAAAAATTGGACAAGAACCTCCCCTGGTGCCGCTATCCTGATAGTGTGCTCTTCTACCATGTCTAAACAGGCTTCTTTGTTAAAGTCCGGAGGGTGGGGGTTGGGGTTCTGCTTTGGATGGGGCTGACTGAAGTTTGGGCAAACTGGCACCAGCGTCTGTTGAAAGGCAGCAATATATGGATTGAATGATTAGAAGTAGTATACCCTGCAGCCCTAAACCCTGTGCCCTTCTAGTCCATATATAATTGTAGTATAATGTACCCTGCAGCCCTGTTCCAAATACTAAAGCCCATGGAGTTAGTGTAATGTAAGAGCCTTAACAAGTATAACAGGCCTTTGGGATAAATTAGACTGTGATTATAAAAAGGAACCCCCCCAACAAAAAGAGTGCAGGTAATTATTAAGGCGTCTATAGTAGTAGGTTCAGTGTAGGACCGGGTTGAATCTCTTGCAAGAGCTGCTTTAAACGAAGCCTGCTGCCTTTAAGATCACCTCTACTCTCTCATCATCGGGCTCAATGTCGTTAGTAAATATCTCAGAGGTATAGGATATGAAGGGCTTGCACTTGGAACTTGGAGAGCAAATTTCAGTCTGTCCGTGGCACCTATGTGTAATATACTGTCATTGCAACCAGAAGATGGACCATCGGAGCAATGATAGACACTGATCATGGTAGTCATCGCCAGAAGCACGCGCTCTTTCGGCCGATCCGATACCTGTCTTCAGGATCCCTACACCCTAAATCCTAAACCCTGAACCCTAAATCCTAAACCCTAAACCCTAAACCCTAAACCCTAAATCCTAAACCCTAAACCCTAAACCCTAAGCCTGATACCCCAAGCCACCAGCCTCAAACACCAGGAAGCCCCAAAACCCAAGAATCCATGGAGCCCTACGGCTCCAAGCCCCTCCGACGCCCAGGATCTCCATCCTAACCACCCTGAAAAGCAATGTAGGGAGCCACAAAGCCCCGAAAGTCACTTCAACAGCCACACAACCCCAATCATAGCCGTCCATAGTCGGGGCGTCTCGAGCATCGGGCTGCTTCACTTAAGGAGTGCTGTCTCAGCTTGTTTATGTAGGCCACACTGGTTCAGGGATGCCCTTCTTTTTCTTCCCTGGCATGCCCCAAGTGCCGAAGGCTCCATCGCATTGATTAATGCGGCACTCCTACCCTAGAAAAGCAAGCAAAGAAACACATGGCGAAACAACAGCTTGCTACGACTTTCTATTGAAATCATTTATTATTGAATCTACTCATCGAAAGCATTGACTCGATCCTTGCCTGCTTCAGCCCCCTCGCATTCACCTGGTCCGCCTCCTTTTGCTTTTCAGGGCCTCGCTGGCCCAGCTATAGACCATAAAGAATGCTTGTGCTTGCGATCGCCTGTCTGCTGCCATCGTTCGCGGCTCCACTTTCGTCTCATCGCACTGCTCCCGTGGGAGCTTGGAATTGTAACTCGCTGAGCAAGAAGCCCTGAATCAGAGTCATTGAGCCAGGTTGTGGCACTTACGGATCTAGTTGAATATTTCACTTCAAAGAAAAAGCAGGAAATGAAAAATCAAGGGCACTTGTTGTCATGCTTGCCGAGTGCTGGTGCCAGTCTTGCTTGGAAGTGCGGCAGGGTATCGTTCAGCTTCAGCGTGTGGTGGAATGTGATTCCTTCCATGTCATCGATCGGCCATCTGGCGGTGAGAAACAAGGGGATGGCAGTCGCATTCGATAGCAGTCCTCTCGAATCGTCGACCTGTTCAGGAGCAGCAGGCAGCTAATACATAAATCAAACACGACCCAGTCGACTAGCGATAATTAGTGTTCATTTAGTGTAATCGCCAAAACTTCACAATTACATTACTAACACATGAATGAACCAAAAAAGCTATAATTATTATTGGTGTGCGACATCACGGTCCTGAGAAGCCGCCCTTTCTGCAACTTGCTCGGGTTGGCCAATCTGAGCTGGCTCCTCCTTTCGGCATTGAATCTTTGGAAAATAATCCATACGAGTTAGCTATTCCAGATTTCGCGGCTGGGGATATATTTATTATAAAGGTTCTATGACCCATGGGGGGTTAGACTAATTAATAAATTGACACATGAATCACTCTGACAGTAGTCAGTTAGACTGGACTTCAAATTACATTTTAATTTAACACCACACGAACCATAAATAAACCCCACACAGCGAATCAATGGGCCATCCTCGCGCTCATCCCCCTCATTCTCGTCTTCCCGAATCAAACCCAGAAGCTGGTTTGCAGCCGCCAAAGCAGGATCTTCCGCCACCATGTTCTCGACCTTTGTGATTGTGGCAGGGGGTTTGTGCTATTGAACCCTTTCCTTTTCAACTAAGCATACAGAAAAAGACCCTTTGAAACAGCAGAAACCAATATCATTCGAAGGGCTTCGTGCTGCTCATCATCTTCATCTTCATCCTCTGCAGCTGCACTACGACCGCGTCGCTTTGCATCCATCTCCTCACACATCTTCTCGATATCCTGCACATCCGTCTCAGAGACCAGATTCTTCACTTCATCGAGCTTCAGAATTGTCTTGATTTTCAAACTCTTGGATGCGGTCTTTCTCAAGCGGGAGCCATAAATCTGTAGCATCTTGGACAGGTTCTCACTGGTCACAGTGCAGATGGCACGGCTCAAAACGAGATGCACAATCAACGGTGTTGGCTCTGCAGATCTTCTGAAGACAATGCAGCTGCCGAGCTTGCTTGCAAAGCTGTTGCTGACACGGTGCACGGTGTAAGCGAAGCATCCCACCTCTGCAGAGTTCCATGCTAAAACCAAAACTAACTAAATCAAGTAACTGACTGAGAAACTAGTATAGATATTGTGAGACAATTACTAAACTACCCAAGCTCATGAAAAAGATATTGCAGTATTACAAGGATATATTATGCTGTAAATAAACGAAAAGCAATTCAATCGGGTTGTCATAATAATAGCGAGGCACTTGGCTGAACTCCACCACTTCCCGATGCAGCACTGGCCTTTGTCGGGTGCACCCACGAACAAACGAATTTGACTGCGAAGAATGGAACTAAGTCGAAACCCAGCCACCAGACGAACTAATCTATGCCTATGATTACTCCAGATGATGGGTGAAGATATTGATCGATTGATGTCAATGTTCAATTATATTAATTAGGAACCAGCATCACATGTTATGTGGATGGTGTAGGCTTTCCTTCGTAATTATTCATTTCCTAGTCACATCCAATCCAAGTGACCTCTGAAGATCCAGCAGCAGTGCTTTGGAGCTTTCGTTGTCTTTCAAGACATCTTTTGCTTCCCATCGGGGTGGGCTGGTTGCAACACACTTCTCGTTGACTGCCTCGGGCGGAAGTGTCCCCTGGAATTTCATCTCAATCTCGCGTAGCTTCAGGGCCTTGCAGCAGGTCGGATATACTCTGCGAGGTAGAAATAGAACATTGAAGGGTTATGCTGTTCGACCCTTGTCAATATTAGCTGCAGAATTTCTTTTGAAACCGTGGCCGACTATCTACTCCTAGCTAGTTGTAACACTAGGCGATCTTGCTTCGTATTTAATTTAAGCAACTTATGAAAACACAGAAACTCAACAATTATTAGTTGATATCCAGGATACACACAGCAAGCCGGGATTGCTTCCCAGTGCGAGCAGAAAAGACCGCCCCACTTTGATCATCATCCCTCTCTGGATAACAGAAGGCACCCAGAACGAAGCAGCCGCATCCACCAAATCCAGTCCACACCTCATCGGGATCATGACAAAGATTCTCAGAATGTCGTTCGGTTGTAGCAGGAGCGAGAACCAGCAAGTAATTTGAAAGTATAACGAAAATACAGTAGGAGCTGATTGGAATAGTTATCAAATATATCGAACAATGTTAATTATTAAAACACTATACTCATATCAGACACCCAGGCGCTTCCGTGCCTGGATAAACCCTTTCATGTAATTCAGCGAGGACCGGTTGTGCTGATGGGCTGATGTACCGGAGGCAGCAGACAATATACTGTCCAAGTGCACATCTTGGCCTTAATTGCACGGGCACGATGTCACCCTGCTTGCATTGAAACTCACTGAATTATACATGAACCGAAAATACACAAAACACATGTGTGGCCAGTGTAATTAAGTACCCAAGACGATGATTTGGGTGTTTTAGATATGACAATGTAGTGTTTTGACTTCTTGGCATTGTCTGGTTATAGAATTATCGGCCTGTCCGAGCTGGTGTGTGTACATCCGGCCAAGACCAAGATAGCAATAGCACGGAAATCTTGCTCTGACCAGCAGTAGAAATGAACATATTTTTATTTGTTGATCGGTGTGGTCCGATGACCTACAACTATCGTCGTCTGCTAGATCCATTGACAAGAAGTCGTTGGTTTATATCTGTAGCTAGTAGAACGAGACTAAATTAAAGCACGGGCCGATGTTGATATATGTGGCGGCGTATACATATGTGTATATATCTATATAAGTATATACAAATAATACATAATATACATATATATATATATATATATATATTGATATATATATATATATATATAATTCATGTACACATATTTTGTCTATACATAGACATTAGTAATTTAGTAAGAACATACATACTCAGATTCAGTTCCATCAATGGTTTGGCATTTGGTGAAATATATAATTCCTCATACATATGCATACACATATAATATAAGTTGTTTGCGTTATACATGTGTATATATATATATATATACACCTAACAAATATAACCAAAGGGAAATTACAGATGATATGCCATCTGATATTACTGTCGTTGAACTGTAGACCATTCAACAAATAGATAAACTAGAAGACCTGGTTAATATTACTTATTAAAGTCGATATGCTTCTTGGGAAAGTGTATGTGTATCGGAAAATTTGTACTCGCAGGCAAGACTCTTCCTGTGAAGGACTCCGGCTGGAACAGCTTCTGTTTCAATGCTCGCACCGTCGTCCCTTCCCAGTCGGAATCTTGAAGTTTGACAGATGTGGCTTGGTCGGGTCCATCCAGAAGCTTGGAGTATAGAGCCTTGACCCCGACAGTGCTGAGATTCGTGATCCCAGCTGTTCCGCCCTTCGATCCACGACGAACAGCATCTTGCATGGATGCAAATTGCTCCTCTACATTTGCTGAGAAACTCAGCCGAGGAAACCACGCCACCACGAGGTCTCGCACGAGCGGCGTCAGTTTAAACCGCTCGGCCTCCAGACCCACTAGTGTCTCTCGGTACACTTGCCACAAGACATGCGGGCAAAGCTTGTGCAATAGCTCGGCTGTGCTTGCTTGTGCTTCCATAGAAAGCACAGTGGCCCATTCAAGCTCCAGGGCTTGCAAGATCCGGGACTGCACGTCGTTCAGGTTGGGGACTCTCGCGGACTCTGTAAGAAGTAGGCTGGCACTCGAACCCGGAGCAGCCGTGAGGTACAGTTGGTAGGACCCGAGTTCGTACAAGGTAACCAGGCATATGTCCAAGTGGTCTCGGAGGAGGTCTTGTTCCACTGGGTTTCGTCGCGTCACCACTTTCAAATCCTTGGGCAAGGGGCTAGTCGCGGTTGGAATCAATGACTCAGGTGAATGCTGGCAAGCTAATTGTTTGATTGTTAATCGTGGATATTATTGCCTTTGGCGGCTTAGCCGCCTAGCCTCAACAAGCCCATTGTCTAATCGCTAAACAGGCGGACTAGCCGCCGTTGTTCGTCCAGGCGGACTAACCGCCTCTGCATATTGCGGACCAGCCGCGTTAGCACATCTAGCGGATTAGCCGCTATTATGCTTAGATTAGATTCCGTGCGGACTAGCCGCATGTGGCAGTTGTCCTTCCATTTAATTAATAAACACAACAGCTACAGTTTGCTTAACTAACTTAGGAAACGACGGATCTACTTTCAGCGGAATAGCCGCTGCACCTGTACTACATGTAGGGTGGTGAACCGAACTGACAATTTAGAATGTTTATTCTTATTGCTGGCAGGCAGCAGCGAAGCACAGCAGCGAAATGGCCTTTTTTCCTCACCCAGCACAGCTCACTAGCCGGATCTGTGCATTGCATGAGCTGGCAATCCAGCCTCTTAATTAACTCTTCGGCCCATGGTAGCATTTCACGAGGCAGTGCAGCCCGAATCAC